TAGTATCTATACTAGTTTCAAAAATAATTTTGAACTTTTAAAGGCAATTATAACATGATGTTGACCTGGGTCAAACCCGGGTCAATTAAATCATGACCTGACCCGTCCCATTTGGGTCAAACCGACTCGTTTTAGAGCTTTATGAATATCTAATTGAAAGATTAGCATGATTTAGCTTATAATTTTTGTGAACAGGTCAAGCATCAATACAATCAATCCTATTATTACAACACTCTTTATTATGAATTATTATGATATATAATCAAGAATCTATGTATTAATTCTATATTTTATCATTTGTGTAGCTTGTATCAAATTAAACAAATTATGGTTATGCTAAAACAATGTCAATATAAAAATATAGTATAAATAATTCATTGCTCCATCTTGTATACCCATGGTTCCATATGTTTAACTATCTTCATTTTTTCTGGACATTCTCCCAGTGTGGGATCAACCCAAGCAGTCAATAATTGCTTAAAGCTATTTGTGAGATCTAATGATGAGGTTGTGGGGTTTGATGTAAACTGTTTCAAGCAACTATAGATATTTGAAGATAATCCAAATAATGCAAGTGGCTTCTGAAAATGTTCATGGAATGCTGTGATTTCAGCATTTGAGACATCATTATTGTCATCAATTCTAAACTTCTTAATAAAATTTCGCTTGTTTTATCATCATCTGTTTGATAATCTTTCAAAACTTCTTCAATTTTATGCTTGCACAAAGCAATTTGACATGTTTGAGGTGATTTAAAAAATTCTGTTGGAACATCAATAAACTCTTTTGTTGCACCTAATTGCAAATACAATGACAAAAATGGCATATGTGGAAGTTCCTCAATGCCTATATATGCTGGTGGCGGTGAAGCTGTTGCAGAGAGCGGATAATCATCACCTTTATTATTATCTGTAGACCAATTTTTAACTTGTATTAGTACATATGAAATATGATCTTTGCTAAGCTTTTCATGAAGAGCGCCTATATATATATAGGTATAATGATATCTACTACCCGTTGATTTCATTTACATGAAAATGCAGTACCACAGATCAGAGCATCACTGAGACTTTTCCTATCTGGTGTATATGTAATATTGATAAAGTGTGTAAACTTAATGTATGCTTCACCAAACTTTGTTCCTGTAAACTTTACTTGTTCTTCAAGGTGATTCTCTATTCTTCTATAAACATCATCTGTAAGTAGTGATTTAAAAAATTAATTCATAGTCACAAAATGAGAATAATCATTGCCAACATCTGTGCTATTTGGATGTTTCTTTTTATTACAATCATCCCAAGCTTTAAGAAGCAATAATCTGGCAGCAAGTTCTCCATGGTAACCAGCCTCTATTACACCTTTCTTGAGTGCTGATGAGAGCTGATTAATAAGTTTTGTGAGGTTGACATTTGAATCATTCATTATCTGAGAAGCTGCTTCTGCCAGCACAGGTTCAGTAGGCATTGATGTAATAATGCATTCACGATCTTCTGAGATATCAAGACAAAGGTGCATATAACTTGCTATTAAATGAGATGCATATCTAGATTGTGGCACTATGTCAATACATAAATGAGGTCCAAAGATAGCCAAAGTTTCCATAATAGTAATTCTGTTTTGAGCTTCTTTTTTCCAAAGAATGAAAGACTTCCCACCAATAAGCTTATCCATGGCTAATTCAATAATACATTCTGGTTTGAATCCTTCAGTACTGCTAGGTGTTAATAGTGCATCCCACAAAGGTCTTCCATACTGAAAAAAATGATGTGGATCTTCAGACTCTTTCAGTGTTTGGTACTTTTTTAAAATTGGTATTCACATCCACAGTGTCTAACAAATAAAATGGCTCAAATAATTGAGATCCTCTTTCTGCAACCCTTTTTGACAGATCAAGGTAGGAGACAGGTGAGAAGTTTGAAATATTTGAGTGAGTATCTGTAAAGATTGCAAAAATTCCTATCTTTTTGGGTAAATTTTTAAAGCACAATGAATATACATCAGGAAAATGAGTACAAATATTATGTGTATATAATACGCAATTGCAGGGATTAAGCATATAATATATGTACAATTTGCATACATAAAAAAATATGCGATTTGTATGCATATTATATGCTTAATCCCTGCAATTGTGTATTATATACGCATAATATTTGTACCCATTTTCCTGATGTCGCTGGATAAGTGTTTTAAGAATAAGGATGGTGGTGGTGGTTATCACCCACCACTTGTCATTACTCTAGTTATTTTTAAAAAGAATGAGCTAAACTATTAAAAAAAAAGGATTATGGTTATTGGTAATTGGACCATACAGCTCATTATTCCAATTTACAATTGTAGTGGTTGCAATAATTGCAACTCACCATCCTATTCAATCATTATTAACCATTATCATTATCACTATATATAATGTTGCCAATCTTGTTCATTCATGGATTAATTAAATATATATATAGGTACACTACTCAAGAGGAGGCCAAACCAGTAGAAGTAGAAGCAGAGATCAAAAATGACAAATATCCTTATTTCAATGATGAATTTGACTTGGGTGAGATAGGCACCAATGAAATTGAAGAGCTACAAACTCCTGAACACCAAATCCATAGACAAAACTCTGACAATGATTCCACATCAGATGAATTGCCTGAGGTATTTATAGTTTTTCTCTAATGCTACATATATAAATATACTCATTGCATCCAATCTTCCAGATGAAATCATTACAACCAGATGAAGTGTTACTTCAAAAAATCCTAGTTAAAATCCTTGATAAATTCAAATCTAAAGACCTTGCATTGAATAAAACCTTTATGGAATCTAATTTTCTTAATAATATCATTGATCTAAGTGATACTGAAATGATGCATGAAATACAATTTAAATTGAATTCCAATCAACAATTATGGCTTGATTAAGCATTAGAAAAACAGATTTGGATTCCAATACCTGAATTTAAAAATTATTGTGATCAATTCACAGATGATGTCTGTAATCGAGTCAAAATTCCAACTTTAGTTCGAAAAACATTCATTGAAGGATATTTTGATTAAAGACTAGTGCCGTAAATTATGATGATGGTAGTAATTGTATTTATGGCATATAAAAAGTGGTTGCAATTACCTTTGCGACCACTTTTGCAACCATACTTTTTCCTTTTTTGGATTACAGCACTAGTCTTTAATTTTGATCCTTTTTTTCACAAAGGATATGATATTGCACATGATATATTAAAACATTTGTAAGTATTCTTGTAAAGGTTCAATTTTCTAAAGATATGCTAACATCAATTACAAGAATAAATAGTTCTGTACAACTAGAGGCTCCTAATAATTCTGAGTCGAATGAATCAGATTTGGAAAGAACATATGCAATCGATACAACCATATATATTGTGAACCATCTCTTTCAGATGCACCAGGACATCCTGGAACGGACATGGTAAGTTTAATTTTAAATTCTAATAATTTGAGTTATATTATTTGTTGATTTCTTTTTATCCGATTTAGGCTTGAAATACTTACAAAAGATACCAAGAATTGAAAAATAGATGGTGCTTTGAAAATGATCAAAAAAGAAAGTTATACAAAAGCCACAAGGACAACACCCGGATTTTTTTTAAGATTTATCGGCTATATCTCAGATATCATTTTCATGTTAGGAAGTGATATGCTTAGAGAGAATTTATATATTAATATCGGAAAAATTTTATCGGCTATCAATAGCCGATTAACCGTTTCCTTTTTATTTTTTTAAAAATAGTAATACAATTATATATATTTCTAGCAAAAATAATATTCTACAAAAAATTATTTAGCGGAAATTTAATTTGAGTAGCGTAATATAATGTAAATAATAATAATACATTAATGAAATTTCTAAATAATATAATATATAATACATATTTCCAAAAGCTGAAGAAAATGAAATTATAATATTTGTCTTCAAAAGTAAAAAAGGAATGAATTTAAACATTTTGGAATGGTGGAAAACTCGACAAGATCATCCATTATCAATATTATGTTCCAACCACTGCCTAGTGAAATAGGGTTCAGCGCAGCTGGTTTAACAATAAATAAAACTTAAATCCAGAAACGGTTCTTGTTTCACGTAGTGCTCTCAATAGTAGTTCTTAATTAAAAAATTTTATTATTGTTTAATTACAAAATTTTTTGGGTAAATTTGTAAATTTTTTTGGGTAGGGGTATAAAATTTTGATATCATGCGGGCATGGGTTGGATATAGATGAAAATATGTCCCACCAATATAAAATTGCTTTAGAAAGAATTTAAAATTGCAACAGGGTAATGACATACAATCAAACCTTGTCACAGCGACACATAAAAAATTTTTATATTAATACGTGAAGTAAAAATTTTAAAAATACGTATGACAAGAATTTAATTATTTGACAAGGTTTGACTATACAAGTAATTGATAGAAACAAATTAATTCCTTAATACAAACTAGTATGTATATTTATTTAGAAAAAGAATAGTGTTTTATCTTCTATCTCTTTTATTAAATAATTGTTTTTCAAATTATTATTTATTTTTATAAATAAATAAACGATTTAAAACGTTTTTCTTTTTTTGTTTGTAAAATTGCATATTTTGATAAGTCGGACCACCATGCCCAGCCATTCGTGTTCGACTTATCAAGTTTATCTATGCATCAGATTAAGATTGCCAATTCCACTGGAAAAGCTAGCAATTTTTTATCAAGCTTCTGACGCTCAAGCCGTTTAGCGATTCTGGATGCTATTTTCTCAATATTGGAGCTTGGCTTTGTGGATTGGAAGTTTAATAATTAACAATTGATACGAAGAATCTGAATTTACAAGTATGAATCATCGATTAAACTTGGTGTGTGGTAAAATGGTAAATAATCATGACCTTGTTATTTGATTGAAATCGACCTTTCGATTATTCTTCTCAAAGATATTCCCATCAAAATTCTCTTGTATATTGTGAGTACACAGTGAATCTCGGTTTAACGGATTTTTGGAAAATTTCTTTAATCGCCCAAACTATCCGTTAAACCGAGATTTACTGTGTATTAGATTGATAAATAATATATCATTGAAATGATGTAAAATTTTAATATCACAGCCTAGTGTGCAAAATGGGTTGAATATCCTGAAAACAATGTTCGAGCTGACTTTGGCTTAAATGATGCTGCAGAAAATATAAAATTGCCTTATAAGGGAGATATTGCTGCTGTTTCATATGTGTTTTTGGAAATTCTTTGATGGATCTAGTTCAATATGGCTTGTTAAATTTGGATAAAGACTATATATTACAAGAGAAACAAGTCTTTTTTATATTTTGGACAAACACAATGAACTTTTTAATGATAATGTATTCGTATTTCCACCCTTGGAAGAAGTGGACTGGACTTACAGAAGGGGTAATGTATTTGATTTACTACTGGATACAAATTTATTTAATGTTTCTATTTTTTTTTTTTTAATCTAAAATTTTTCCCCACAGATGCGAGCATACTGTGGATCTGCTCATTCTAAATTTGAGGAAGAAAATCTGTGGAGAAGGATTCATAATATACGACCTTCCGCCTTTGATGATTTCAAATCATTCATATTACACTTGATGAGTCAGTAGTATCATCATGTCTTTCCATCATTATATACATACTTATCTGGAGCATCAAACTTGATTATTTTCTCACAAGTTTTAATGAAAATGTTTGCAAATAATGTATCACTTTCTCCACTAAACCAGAATATAAGGATTGTATTATTTCATGGAATGTCATAGTGCTTTGTTAAATTTAAAGTTGCTGGTTATAATAATGGTATGGCAAAAATAGAACTCCAGGGTCTCGTCAAGTTTCAAGGGTTTTCAGCATTAGGTGCAAATCTAATGAGCGAAAATCCTAGGAGGACTCAATTTAATGAATCCCCAAACTCCCTAATTTCCCTTACATGGACCATGTGATAGATGATCCAATTGTTGGAACAATTTTCAAGCAAAACTTTTGTGAACGAATGCAATATACCGGGTCCATTAAGACCAACAAGTTTTAGTCTGGTCCATTGACATTAACAAAATACCAAGTCTGCCAACACCGGTATGCTAGTGTATTATCATTATTATGATTCTTATTACTAACGCAAGTTTATATGATTTAGAAACAAAATTATGCGTAGATGTTTTGCTTGCTAAAATATTAATATTAAGGTTGTATTGAAATTGTCGATCTTAATGGAAATGATATACAAAGTATACGTTTTAGCACAAAATGAGAAAGAACTCTGTAAGAAAGGCATGCGAGTATGTGGAAAAGAGACCATAGTTAAACACGGAGTATTGTATTAAAAGTAATAATTGCGGAAACACTACTATAAAAACTTGTATAATCGCTTCTATATTTGTTCAAATATTAAAAATTATTACAATTAGAAAATACAAATGACAATCTAGTCCAATTGCTTCGGGATATTTTCTATTAAAAATTTCTTGGCAAGACGGCTCGTATGTTGGTGGCTATTGTCCTGCTGAAATTTCAATCATTTCGTGAGGTCTAATATATCTGTATTTTATTGGCATTAGAAGTAATGGTTAGAGTGAGTGTTTTGCTTGAGGGAGAGAGACACCCTGAAACACATAAGGATATTTGCATCTTACATATGATTCGTATGTGCGTATATTACGTCAATTTAAAAAACACATATAATTGGTTTGTAATTCATAAGGATATTGAGAATCCTAAATATTGCTGAAATATTTTGGCCAACATCTTCAGTATGCATAACTGGTAATTTTCATTGGATACTTTGTAAGCAATTGTCATTATTGGAAAAATTGATTTTATACTGTACGAGTAAATTAATCAATTAATTTATGTGATATGATGAAAATTATTTACAAGACAGTCAAAATAAAAATTGCAAATGTTTGAGCAAATTCTATTAAGAGAGTTTTATTTTCTCCTTCTCAGGAGAAGACCGAATAACTATACAGATAAATAAAATATACATGTAAATGATAATTACAACAACTACAACAATAATATAAGAATTAAAAAAAAAATCGTACACTCTCATACAGTACGCAAAGTATGTTATGTATGACTATTATAAACATAATATTCTATGTATGATGACGAAATAGTTTAGTTTGAAAATAATTTCGATAATAATAATAATAGTTACGGTTTGAAATCGAAATTAGAATTCCTGATTCGAATTCCAAAATATTGTTTTTAAATTATGTCAGGCAATTTTGATTCTCATAGTCTTTATTTGCCAAATACCAAGACCCCCGGATTTCGATTTCGGATTTCACTAATACTAATACTAAGGACTTTTGATTTCGAAAGCTTGAGTAATTTTTTTGAAAGTTTTAAAATGACTTTTGCCATCATGTATGGTTTTAATCAAAGAATCAGGATCACAGAATATTGAGTTTCTTTAAAAATAAATATTTTTTTAAAAGAGGTGTTTACATATCATTGACTATTAAAAAATTCCATACAACTAGTTTTGGCATATTAATTGAGTTTTGAGTTTGAGTAATAGTTTCGGCAACCAACTGTAGTTTCGGCATAATGGTTGAGTCTTGGCAAGTTGATCAAGTTTCGAATTATTAATTATTATTATTATTGTTTTTTTTTGAATTTCGATATCATCACATTTTAGTTCAAAGTGATATGAACTTATTTATTTTGAAAAAAATTGAAAATGTTATCACGAATTTCGATTTTTTTAATTGAAAGGTGTAAAATGATATGTATATTTTCGAGTGATTAGTCAAAATACATGTTTCTAAACTTTTCCCCAGATGGTAAAAAAAAGCAAAAATTTCAAACAAAAACACGCAATAAATTTATATTGCACGAATCAGCAAATTCTAGACTTTCGTATGTGAAAATTTCAAACTATGTCACGTAGATTTTTTAAGATAATAAAAATCATTTTAAATTGAAGTTTTATTTTCTCTTGTTACTCGGGCTATAGAAAAGCTTGAAACATCAACCTTTACGTGGATATTTATTTACTTGTTTATCTAAACCTAAACCACATGTGGTATAAATTTAATTATTATGTACATATTATTTGCATAATTAATGTTTCGATCCTTTTATTCAGTATTAGTTAACTATTACTATATATATTAAATAAATTAAATTACAAATTTATAAAACCGCACTCCACCGAACTTTATTATAATAACAAATCACGTGATACAACGAACAGCATCATTTTCATAAATAAAATTTTTGGAAGCAGAAATATGCCATAAGGTAAAGTCGCCAACCGAAAACCTGATTTATAACATAAATCAGCTATGTAAAAAGCGGTTTTTTGACAATTGATTACAAAAATTTTCGGATAACATGCAATTAAGAAACGTTAATATATTTTTGGGGTGTCAAAAAATTACAAGTCACATCACGGTCACATCTTGATAAGATGGGAGATCTTTTATTATCATGGAAATAACCGACAAAGCTACATTGTTGTGTTACAATCCAGTTTTCCATCTTTTCTATACTTATTCACAATGGACGAAAAAACCCTCTTTTTAAATTGGTACAACCAGCGTGAGGATGTATCGTCAAATGTCTTCTTTTTTGTTTAGATGTTTATGAAAACAATTGCGTTGTGTAAAATGGTTCTGTTTCTAAATGAAACGAGGAAAAAAGATGGAAAACCAATGTTTTCTTAAACTTGATTTTCGGAAAAGAATTTTATTCTTGCCGATCTTTTAACTTTGATCTGTTATCTTCTTCCCAAAGGAATAGTGCTTATTAATATTAATACTCACTGATAGCAAAGCTTTGGTTCACAAAGGTTTCATTTAATGAAATGTTTACAACAATGAGATTTTTTACAATGATTTCACTATATTTGATAAAATTTCATATTTGTGAAATTATTGACAATGACAATCATTTTACAATTTCAATATTACATTTGTGAAATTATTGACAATGACCATTTTTTACAAGGTATTTCCGCAATTATTGGAAAACCTTTTGTATTTTACATAAATTTTACAATCGTGAAAAAATCAATTATTATTGACACTATCATTGTAATAATTCGCTCTTTATATTTATAAACATAATTCAAAAAATTATTTATAAAAAATGGTTTGTCTCTTCATCTCTTCATTGTTTTCTTTAATTGAAAAAAATAATAATCATAAAAAAAAGGCTTCCTTATATCTTGAGTGCAAACTTAACCGACAAATTTACCAGTAGAATCACGACTTATAGAACAGATAAAGATTGCAAAGGTTATAGAAACGTTATATTTAAAGGCTTCGTTGGTATTAGTGAACCTGCGAATGATTTCAGAAAGCCTTCTATTGTGTTGTTTGTTGGCAGATATGTATATTGCGATCAGTGTGTAAAATTGAGATAACAAGGCCCTACTAAGTTTTTAGATTAGAGGACAAGTTTATTATTAAATATTTATTAAGATTATACAAGAAATATACAAGGTATAATGTGATTTTATTTATATCGCTACTAATTCTTAAACACCTAATAAAAAAATAATGATACAGTCGGAACTCGTTAAACAGATGTACTTGTTTTGGGCTCAAAACATCGTTTTATCAAATATTCGTTTTATCGAGTAATCTTTGATAAGACGAAGTTAATATATTTTTAAAAAAAATTCGGTTTAAAAAAGTTATACATCAAAGTTTACATATTCACCTATACTACGTCGACGAGCTAGGGAACTTTTATATAATAAAACGTTACTTCTAACAGAACGGATACTAGAAATTTGCTTTGTTGTAATTTCAATGTTTTACTATATTGAGAAAAATTATGGCCTTTTCCACCCGACGCTCTAAAATCTTGAAAACCTAACAATTTTGCAGAACGTATTATTTATGATAGTTAAATTTGCTTTAAGCATTTGTGTTGTCCAAAGAATCAATGCATCTTCTAGACCTGAATATTTCCTTTGCGTAAACGTTTATTATGTGAATTGGCATCTTCTGGATTAATACCAAGATATTCTGACTTTCGTTTCAATATGTCACAAACAGTATTTTCATGAACTTTAAAACAAATAGCAAGGTCTCTATTCGTTGGAGTATGTTTCTTTTATCTATTTTTCATTTTTAATTTTAGGAACGTACTAAATCATTTATAAAATTGTACAAAATAAAGCGAAGTTTCCTTCGATAAACCGATATTATTCGTCTTATCGAGTTATATATGGAACAGTATGAAAATATCATCTTAAACGTTAAAGTGAAACAATAAGAATCTTCGTCTTATCAAGTTGATTTTATTATTAATGAATTGGCAAACTAGAAAAACTTCATTATAACAAAAATTCGTTTTATCGAGTTACGTCTTATCAAGTTCCGACTGTACAGTTAAAAAATGGTTTTTTTACAAAATAAATTGGACATGTCTCAATTTATTATACTGTATTATAGTTAAAGGAAAAATGGTCATTCTAGTTATATATAAATTAAAATCCTTATCCTTTGTTGTTGTTTTTAACTCTTTCCTTGAATATGAACGCCTTTGTCCCCACTATTACATCATGTCTATTATGATGATTATGCAATGCATTTGATGTTATTATATAATGAATAATTACATCGCCCAAGCAATAACAATATTAATGACCATGCCAATTTTGAAAAAAAGCCACATCCAGGTGAAAAAATTTGGAAGATTTGGAAAACAAACCCTCGATGTTTTGATCCGAGCCTCTTTTCCATGTAAGATAATAATGTGCTGTGGGAATTCTAGTTTACTTGATTTCCTTCATTTTGTGTGCACACACGCGTGTGTGCATGTCCCCAATTGTAATCCAAAATTCATTGAAAACATTTCCAAAAAAATAAAATGAATAAATCTAATATTGATGATTATAGGCAGGGTTGACAATATATTCAAGGTATGTTGTGACTTTGCGTTCCTGATGATGGTAGTTGAATTTGGTTGGTATCAGAGTTGGTGATTTAGATGACGGGGTTGAAGTTGATTGAATGAGGTTGTGGTTGTTTGTGATGCTTTGCACTTAATATTACAGAAGCAGGATAATTAATATCCATGTCCGACGCTAACTCTGTTCATTTGATAAAATTTTCCTTTCACGAGTGTGCAATCGCCGTAGTTCGTATCTATATATTTTTCTCCATAGAAGAAGAGATTCAGGCAAGAGATAGGCTTAACAGCCTTTTTGACAACAATGCAATTCCAATAAACTTCAGGGTCATGAGCCCCTGAATCAAAACATATTGTTATATCATCGGATGTGATGTTTTAAATATTAGAGCCCTGGAGTGATACACTTAATACAGTTAAACTCGTAGGTCTGGTACATACATGATTATGATGGCGAAATAGGTTGGTTTCGAAAATAATTTCGATAATCACAGTTCCAGAGAATTTTCAAAACTCGAAATTCGAAATTCTGATTCAAATTCTAAAATACTGCTTTTGAATTACGTCAAGCAATTTTGATTCTCGAAGCCTTTATTTGCCAACTCTTAAAACCTCCAGTATAACAATACTGGCCTGGATATCTTATTGTACCTTTATTAAAATGTGCACAAACAATGTCAGGTATATCCCGTAATGATAATGGAACAAAAAGAAGTCTGCAAAGCATCTGGCGAATAGATGTCCAAATGCACCTATTTAAATAAAACAATTTTATCTTGAAGTTACTACCAAAATGATTATTTTTTTGGACGATGCAAATTCATTGGTAACTTCAAATATTCTTGGATCAAGGAGTTTGTCTAATAATAATAACCAAAAAGAAAATCGAAAGAAAAGAAAAACTAACCAAAGGAATTAAATGATTTTTACGATTTAACAAATATTATTTTCATTGCAAATTAATTTTTATTTCAACTTAATTTATGATATTTCAAAATTAGAATCTTGATTCAAATTTCGATTTCAAATTTCGAAAACTTAAGTAAAGGTTCGAATTTTATTAAATGACTTTCGCCATCATATATAGTCTGGCACAGTAAATTTTATGAATTTATCGAATTATGCCACTGTCGAGAGTTGCTCTTTAATTTCACAATATAATGAGAATGACTTGGAGATTTTTTTTTATAAAAATATAAAAAAAATATGTAATTATGAAACATTCCCAATTATTATTTACAGTATTAGATAAAAGCTCTTCGCAAATTCTACGTTTTCAAGAGAAGATAAATTATTTTTCGCTCATTATCATCTGTATTTCTACGCTTAATTTGAAAGCTTGAATTCACTTTTTGCAATAATAGTAATTATTATCAATTTAAAGAACAGGCTTTTTTTTATTTGATAAAAAAGTAAGAGAGTTATGACTTTATCGATCATTAAGATTTTGTTATGATTATAGAATTTTAATATAACTGGCATTGATTCCTGAAAAATATGAATTTAACGAGCTTTGACTGTCTGTATCTGGAAATTTCCAATAATTGATCAAATTTTACACATTGAATCGTTTTTTGGTGTTTCAAAATTGTCTAAAGAAGTTTTCCATGTGAGAGTGGAAGTGAAAGTGAGATATTCAATAGTTGTGTTGCTTTTTATCCTTTACATAGCACATAAGACAAGTTTTGGTACAGATTTTGTGAATTTTAATTTTGAAGATTTAAAAATGATGATGAAATAGAAAAGAATGCTGAATCACAATAAATCAATCACCAGAGTTTGGTGATCAAGTTGTTCTTTAAATGATGCAATTTTTATTTTTCAATTTATATTAATAATTTATTTAAATCTTTATCAATTAATCCTGTTAGAAAAGGTTTAAAGGCAGCCAAATAAACTATTTTACTGTCAAAAAAAAAACCCCCCATTATAACAAAAAATTTAAAAATGTGAATTATTATTACAAACAAGAATTATCCAAAGAACAGAATGTTTACTAAGTATTGACACATAAAAACAATTATTTGTTTGAGCGAAGGAACAAGAACAGGTAACAAAATTTTAACCCATACAATTGTTGATTGACCAATCAAAATCGTGAATTTGATAACGTAAAAATAAACGTTGGTTTGATTCATTTCATCAACAATCACTTTACCAACAGTTGTATATTTTTCTTCCGTAATTAAAGATGGATGGTCATTTATTGTTTCGTTTTCTTCCATTTTTTAAATGTTAATCAATTGATCTTCATGAAAAATTACTATTGGTCAGAAATTGATCATATGATTTCGGATAAAATTTCGCCTTTCAGCTTTAATTTCGGATTTGGGCTATTTCGGACATTTTGGTGTCTGGCGAAACTAATTTCGCACCAGTTTCGGATTCGGATTGGGCGAAAGGGTTAGGTTTCGCCCGAAACACTAATCATTATCATTATTAGATTATTACTTACTGTATAACCCTTGTTTCAACGGATTTTAAATGAAAATTTCTTATTGTTATGTGTTCAGCCATTCCGTTGAAACGAAGGTTGGTTATATTCCATATTGATATAAACAACAAATCACAAAATCAAAATACCTTGCTGTTCTTTTGCATCATTATATATTTGCAACGGAAGATCCTTGATTAGTCTGCCACTTGGTAATTTCAAGTCCTATCATTCATTACATAAGACAACTAACTATAATTACTATTATAAATGGCCATTATTTATAAGAAAAAATAAATGATAACATACACTATGGTGGTTGTGTAATCTCTAGTAATTTTGTCATTTTTTCTTGGATTTTTTTCAATGATTATTTCCTCTCAATATCAATAAATACAAAAAAGTCGAAATCCGTGTAATTGAATTAATCGAAATCAAAATATAGTAATAGTTGTTTCCATTTTTGGAGGAAAAGTAATTATAGCAACGAATTCTCAATATTCTTTACATATAATAATATGTCGTTAATTTTTAAGAGTTCAAATGATCACGTAAGATGATTTTTGATAATTATGGCAACTAGAAAAATCATCGAATTTCTTTCCTCTAACAATACTTACTTGCAGTATTCCTCTCAGGAGGGTTGTTTGCTTCTTTTCTTATTCTTCTCTAATGATGAAAACGTCAATAAAAAATTTTTTTTTTCTTGTGCACAAATTTCCTTACAACTTTGTACTCAAAAAATTCTTTTTCTCAAAGAAATTTCTATAATATTGTCTATATTATAGTCAGGATGCCGTTATCTTCAATTCTATTTATTTAGTTGAAGTTAGCTTTAATGTGTGTATATAATGTATACATAATTATTACTTACTCGAGGTTACAATACCAAACATTTTCAAATCTTTATCAAATGCCCCTTCCCTTCTTTGTTTAATATGTTGAAAGTTTCTGCAAATTGATCGTGTAAAAGGATCACGATTTTTGTAAAGTCGTTGATCTTTTTCCTTAAATCCTTATTAGCTGTTTTTTTTGCTATGTTCAACAACCAATGTTTCCATTTCTCTCTTTTTGTACATTAAGGTTAGGTCAGGGTTGGCAAATGTGCAGTCCATTGATGGTCCATTGGGTCCATTAGTGTAACATTTTAACCATTTTTAGTATTTTATTAATGACAATGGACCAGTCCAAAATCCATCCGTTCTCAATGGACCAGTCAATTTGTCAACCCTGTGTCAGGTATAAGTGCTCGACGGTTATCAAGACTATAAAAGTTTCTCTTGGTTTTATTAGCGTAATGACTCCTTTATTCAAATGGAGAGTTAATAAGTATCAATTTTTTATAAAAAAGAGATAAATATTAATCAAAAATAATTACGAATATAGCTTGCTTCTAAATAATATTATAAATAAATTGACCATGTACAAGAGATCCTATATGTAATTCTGGGTAAGTTTGATTAAAATAGTCTTCATTCAACGAAAAAAGGTTTGTACTAAAAAAAATTTTTTTTTAATTGATAATCTCTTTAGAATGAGAATGTATATATATTAATTAAACTTACAATAATCTTATAACAACAATAGTAAACACTGCAGTTACGTCAAATGTATTTATAATTGATATAGCTTTCATGCTTATCAACTTTTTTTATTGTTTTGATATTATCCAACATCTCTGAAATAATAGTATCCTTTAAAATCTTATCCGCAACTTTTGCCACAAATTTTGATTTGATATATTGTAGGTTACATTTTTCTGGATCAAACAAACTAATTATACCCATTTTTACAAGGTCCCTAAATTTATATAAAAAGATAAATAGTCTTAAAGTTACCTAAGATCATTTACAAAGTATTCATAATAATAAATAAAACGTTGCCATTTCTTTGCTTTTTGATAAATATTGATTTAAGGAACTGTTTATTTTTGCCAATTCCTATATTGATATACACTATTAAGTTATTATATAAAGAGGAAATTTACATATAATTAAAAAAAAAAAAGACATATTATTAAACTTTGACCCGAAGTCTGGAATTTTTTTAAAAGTCAAAACATCATCAATATCGCGACTTGTACTACCAGTTGGATTTAGCATTTATTTTTTTATTTTTTGTAATTATAATTTTTGTAACATAACAAATAATTGGTCAATCGTATTTACGGGACTCTTTCAATATAAAATGTCTCGTCTTACTGAAGAACGTAATCAAGATGCTACTGTATATATAGGAAACTTGGATGAAAGATGTACTGAAGCACTAATCTGGGAATTAATGCTTCAAGCTGGTCCCGTTGGTAAGTTTTCCTTTACCTCCTCTTCCTCCCTTCTCCTCCTCCCTACAAATAAATTTATTTACCAAACTACCTTTTTGTCTTTTCTTCTTAGTTAATGTCCATTTACCAAAAGATCGTGTTACTCAAACACATCAAGGTTATGGATTTTGCGAGTATATGAGTGAAGATGATGCTGATTACGCAATAAAAATAATGAATCAAATCAAATTATATGGGAAACCAATACGTGTTAACAAAGTATGTAGTAATAAATGATTCTATTATTTATTAGTCTTATTGCTATTAATCAATAACATTTATCTATGTATATGTCTATTTATTTATATTAGGCAACATCAGACAAAAAAAATTTAGATGTTGGTGCTTCATTATTTATAGGGAATTTGGATCCAGATGTAGATGAAAAAATGTTATATGATACTTTCAGTTCTTTTGGTGTCATAGTGCAAACTCCAAAGGTAAATGATGAGATGATGATGATGATAACGATGATGATGATAACAATTAATTAATATAATTTGTTTTGTGAATAATTAATTAATTTAATTAGATCGCTAGAGATCCTGATACTGGAAATAGTAAAGGGTACGGCTTCATTTCATATGACAATTTTGATTCATCGGATGCTGCAATTGATGCTATGAATGGCCAATATTTGATGAATAAACCAATTACTGTTTCATATGCATTCAAAAAGGATGGTAAAGGCGAACGTCATGGGAGTGCAGCTGGTAACTATAATTATTATTAAAATATATACACAAACACATATACATCCAAACATACATTAATCCATTTTTATTTATTTGTATTTATTAGAAAGATTATTGGCAGCACAAGCAAAGAAAAACCAAAGTTTGCCAAATCGTTTATTTGCTGATATTCATCCTGTTACTCAAGTACTACAACCATCACTTAATAAATTTATATAGACATTTAATGATTAAAAAAATACTAAACCCCTAAAATATTTATTTTCCTAAAAAATTTATAAAATAAATGGTATCACAAATCTAATATCAAAGGATCATGAACAAATACTTCTTCAAGAAGCATAAGCAATATATTTTTATTTTTCTCATAACTCCAAGTACATTTCACATGCAATCCTAAAACTCCAATAACATTAAGTGTTGCCACAATATTTGGAAAGGAACCATTTCTGGGATTCTTAATTTTCTTCCCTTCTCAAAACACCAATGTAAATTAAATTAATCAAGTCCACATGATTGAGCTTCACAATAAATTATTTATTATCTTAATATTATAATATTATAATCCAATTAATTATACAACTAATTATTTATTGACTTCATATAAATATGTCCAACAACTAAAGTTAAAATTGCCACAGATCTAATGACAAAAAGATTAATGAATTTGTTATAATAAGGATTAACAGGAAAATGTGATGGTTGTTTTGGTAGTGATTCTGACACAATAAATTTATCAACCCAGCTATAAGATTCCATGTCAAAAATATATAAATGTTTATTGTATTTTTTAGTTTTGATTTTAGAATTTATATAACCTAAATAAAGATATATTAATTTAACCAAGTTTAAATATAAATTAAATCCATAAATAATATATGAATAGATTGTTAATATACCAAATGCAACTATCATATATTTGTCAATTGAGGTTGCACTGTGTCCATAAAGCAATGGGGGTGTATCAGCATTATTTGAAATTTTTGGTGTTGACCATTCACAAGAGGCATGTGCAGTATTTAATACTGCTAAATGAGGATATGGAAATTTATGATGATTATGATTATGATAATTATAACCACCAAATATAATTATAGAATCATTTGGTCCTATATTTAATATTAATTGTCAATATATAAATATATAATATTTAATGTATTTTTTAAAAAGTCATGAAATTCTCACCCAAGACTGCAGAATGATATTCACGAAAACCAATATCTTGACCTCTAGTGCTCTAATATCAATACCAATATCAACAATTAATTAATATTTGATTCTCAACAACAAAATAATTTTTTTCTTAACTTACAAATAAAGACCATTTATTAATTTTTGTATCATAAACATTTATCTAAAAAAAATAATCAAATTATTAACTAGTAAAAAATTAAAATATACAAAATTCAACATTAAACAAAATAATCAATACCAGATTTGTTGGTATACATTCAGAATCATTGCATCCTCCAATATATACAATTAAACCATTAGATAACATAGTAGAAGTGTATCCATGTCTATATGATGGTGCATTTTCTATTGAGCCTGTTGACCAAATCATATTAACTGTATCTAATATGTGCATAATATTGTTAGTTGGAATAAATTGGGTATATCCACTAAAAATATAAGCAGTTCCTTTATTATCCGAAACACATTGAGTATTTATTCGCCAATCAAAAGGTTCTTCAGTATAAGGTAAAAGCCATATATCATATTCATGGTTATATTCAATAAGTGGATTTTCTCTCTCTGGATTATGATTATTTTTGTAAGTTCCTCCAATGAATATAAATGAGTTTCTGGCTGTTTTACACACAGAACTATGCATTAGTTCAACATTTGCTTTTGATCTTTCTATCCATTTAGGTGTTCTCCTGCTAAATGACTCTCCTAGATCTAAATAAAAGGCCTCACTGCCTACTGAATAGTCCTCCTTGTAACCACCAAAAAAATAAAGCTTCGTATCATTACTAATTGAAGTGTGAAAACAACGTGTTTTGGGAGAATAAGATTTGACAAGTGTAATATATATTAAAAAAATTATAATAGTGGAATAAACGTTAAACATTATTATTGTTATTATTATTAATTAAAAAATTTAGAAATAGGGGCGAGACGCCCTAATTACATAATGTCGATCAATAATGAATTAACGCAAATAAAAAATTGCGTTTTCATATTCTATTTCCAAATATGGAAATCGAATTAGGAAAAATTGGAACACTTTTGTCAATCAATTTATATATGTTGCAAATGAGTTAACGTGATAATAATAATGAAAAAAAAATTTTTAAAATTTTTTTGAATATGGGGGCACTCTAGGAAAACCAGGCTTTCGAGTTTCGTGTTACGTGTAATTTTCATAACGAAAACATATGAAAATTACACGTAACACGAAACTCGAAGCCTGGTTTTCCTAGAGCGCCCCCATATATATTTTTAAGAATCCACACAACTTTATACACTAGTTTTTTTCTTACATGTAGGAGAACTATTGACCTAAAAACCCATTTATTTATTTATTTTTGTTTGATTCTATGACTACAAGTTAGTAATGGTAAACACTAGACCACTAGCTAATACTCTACCATGTTTGCATTTAAGATCTTGCAAATAAATATCCAAAAAAATGATGGATCTCATCACTTATAGTATGTGAGGTGCAATCTATCGCTCGATGTGTTTCCAGTATCCAATCCCAAAAGATCAAGAATTGTGGTGAGAAGTCCGTTCAAGAGGGTAACAATTTGAACAAGATAAGTCTTGATGAATGTGTGATATATTTCTTATGTTCTGATATCTCTGATGACTCTGATCGTGTTCCCCTAGTGTTTAATTGCAATTGGTCAAAGTTTATTCACCTGAATAAAGAAATAAAAATAAAGAAGTAAAAAAAATATGCATGAAAATCTGTAGATTATAATTTTGGTTTCTGTTTTATTGAATCACTTGCATAATTCCACACAACTCGCACCAAGTTGTCACCAATTATTGTTTGGGAGAGCGTGTTAATTGATGATAACAATATGAATTTATGATTATGTGGATTGGCTATTACTAACAAATTAGTTTTATTAGCGAATAATTTTAGTGATTTAAGAAAAAGATAAACGTTTTATTTGGTCGAAACTAATCTATTAACTTATTTTAAGTTAATAAAACCTTTACAAGTTATTACAAAGTTTTCACACAAAGTTTTCCTTAGTTAACTTATTACAAATTTATGTCGAATTTGAGCTTCTTATATACAATTAAATTAATTAGTAACAACTTCGTTGCAATTTAGCATTCTAACCGCGACGCTAATTTCTAAATAAAGTTAACTGATTTTGACGTTATACAAAAAAATAGTAAAAATGTAATAATAAATAAAGAAATGAATAAAAAAATAAAATAAGAAATGAAAATATAAGGAATAAATAAAATAAAAATAAAGTAAAATAGAAATAAAAGATTTGATTCGGAATTAGGGTATTTCGACCAACAAATCAGCGTGAAATCCTAATTCCGGTAACACCAACTTTTTAAATTCGAACCACGATTTTGATTAGTCGATCAACAATCGCATGGGTTAAAATTATATGTTACCAGAACGGTCTCTCCTGTTCCTGCGAAGATGATTTTGATCATTTACAAAAGCTAGAAATTAGGCTTTTTTCAGTCACGCCCAGTGTTGTTATGCAATGAAATTCGGAATCTGGAATTATGTGTTCCATTGTTCCGGTGTTCTAGTCTTTTTCACTGGAATACAAGGTTACATTGGAATTCAAAGGAATTCAGCCAATGGAATTTTTATTTTTATTCATAAAATTTGTAAAGAAAAAATTTAAAATTTTTAATGGATAAACAAATTTAAAGAAAGCAATTGTTTCTTCATTTTCTACCAATTGGAATGATTAGCCATTAGAGACTGCCATTCTTAACAATAACATTTCAAATATTTGTTGTTCACTTGGTTGTAAAGGCCTATCAAGATAATGATTTAATGTTGATTGGTTTGTTGGAGAATCATTTCTTACATGTTTAAATAAGTAGAAATTTCTGAAAAAATATTATCTTCAATATTAATAATACCAGTATCACTTAATACAATTAATCAAATATATATATATTAATATGTAAATGAATATATATATACATATATATAAAAAAAATTCTCATCTATTATTCTAGTAATTTTATTAATTAAATTGTTAAATATTTACTAGATCATTTGATCTATTTTGCGATTCTTTTTGTTTGACTATTTCAAGATGATTTTCTACAAATTCAATTTTATCAGAATAGCAAGCTTTAAAATTTTCATGATCTAACAAGTTTTCCCAATGCTTTTCATTGTGTTTGAAATTTTGAACTTCTGTTTTAGCATTATCAGTCAGTGTACAAATCCTTTCTCTTTTTTTAATTAGTGCATGTAACATTCACTTGAACACCAGAAGTTTCTTTTAGGAAGTATTTTGGCACCTTTAGTTTACAATGAAGCCTTTTTTTGAGTTCGCAATAATGGGTCAAATTACACACGAAAATTTACACAAAAAACGTTGATTCTTTTCAATAAGACAGCTGTATGCTGATTACAATAGTCAATAAAATAAAGCGAACCTTGTTCTTTAGACTTCATTAGTACCATAAAGACGACTTAACAGAATTTTCAAAAAATATACATACACAATCTTTAAAATTTGTTTAAAGAAAAACATATTTCGTTACTTTTTATTGGGGCGATTTTGTGATAAATAATTCTTGACTCTATCAGCATCCCACATATTACTGAATCTGCTTTCATATTTAAAGTAGGTAATATAGTTAAAAATTTTTCTTCTGAAATTTCTTCTCCTTGTTGGATTAATTGAATCAACAGAAGTAATGTATTTTTAGCTTCTAATGTAGTTACACATCTTGATCTTTTTTTTATAACATTTTCTACTGGTTCATGTAGATGAGGTTGGGTCTGTGTTTGTAGATAACTTGATTCAGAAAACAATCTAATAATTTGAACTGGTTGGATTTGTAAGAATTATCTGAAAATTGAGTAGGTGTCTTCTTTTCAGCTTTTTTCTTTTCATTTATGTTCTTCATTGTTGTTTTAGTAATGTTAAGTGCTCTTCTTCCCTTCACTCAATTTTCTCAGTTCCAAAGACCTCTTGTCTACAAATAGAATTCATTCTTTCATGTCCATTTGTATAGCAATCAAAAAGTTGTTGCACTCCAATAGGATTCAATGCATAAGGTTTTTATTTTCCATAAATTGCATTCAAGTGCTCTATTATCTGCAACATTAAGTGTGTCTAATAAATGATTAAATAAATCCCATATAGTTTCTTTGTGTGTCTTTATTGCTCCGGTTCCATGAGGAGTTGTGGCATCATTCAAATATTCAGAGAAAAGAACACCAATCCTCTCATGTTTGGTTTGTGCAGCACTTATTAGTGATTTCATGTTATCTTCATCGATTGCATTTCCATTTATAAAGCCTTTAATAAATTTAACACCTAGAGTTTCAAGTGCCTAATCAAATCCAAAGAGGTGTCCAGCTCTGTCTTCAGATATTTTTATGGATGCTGCAAGCATTTAATTTTTCCTCAAGTTTTGGATATTGGGACAATATGGCAAGATAATATGCAACAGACTTCATGTAATTCATCTTTCCAGCTGCAGGGAATAAAGGAGAAAAGGCAATTAAGCAATATTTCTGTAATTTGAAGTTTCCACATTGTATTCCAATTCTGTGAGCAATAAAAATGCCCATTGATAATAGAGAAACCAGACTTTGAGGATCATTTTTTTGTTGAAATCATGGTAGGGAGAGATTCAGTATGGTATAACTCTTGCAGGACGTATGGTATGGTATGGTATGGTATAGCCCATATTTTTCCATACCAAGTCACACAAAATTTTATTCTAAATCCTTTTTTGGTGGGTGTGAAGGGAAGTATGTTAGATTTAAGCATTGGTATACAACCATTTTATTACACTTATACAATACCATACCATACGTTTTGCAAGAGTTATACCATACTGAATGTCCCTATACTCTTGAAATCACCAACAAGAATTTGATTTTTGTCCATTTTTTTTTTTAACCAGATATTTATTGAAAGTCCCACTTCAGTCCAAATTAATTCAAGAACCTAACTGTAGAACAATAGTCAACTACATTTCCGATTTATCCAAGTATTTTACACCAAGTATTGATCCAATGTCAAAAATTCCATAACTTGAGAATATCATAATTAATACACTACACATATCTTTGGAGGTATGCCATTGTCCTAACAATGGTCTTACATTTGGATGTTCTTTTTGATATTTGATTAATTGTGTAAATATTGATTCATATGCAACTATATCTATGTAATCTTCTTGATTTATTTCATAATCATTATAATACATATCTACGTTTCAAAGATACCAGCATCTTTATTTGGAGTTCCTGGAGAATAATTACACTCATGTTCAACACACTTCATAATTTTTCGATAGATTGTTGAAGCATCAAAATCTTTCTGATATTTAATGACATCATTTTCTATTGTCATCTGTAATGATGTAACCAACAATTTGTCAAAAAGGTTTATAGCACTTTCTGCTATGTTATTCATGCCAAACAGATCTTTTCTGGAATATTTTGGAGTATATCCTCTGGCCCTTCTTGAGTATTAAAGAAAGAGGTATTTGAAAACACATTCTTAACATTGCATGGGATGTATTGTGAGTAGTATTAAAAATATTATAAGAAGTGAAGCTTTTTCTTTGAAATCAATATTATCATCAATTATTGACAAATTCCAAATTTTGGGATCATTTTTTAATCTTATTTCTGGTTGAATTCTACTCATTCTTTCTATTTCTCATTTTCTCTCATTACCACTAGTGTGAGCCATAATTTGCAAAGTTGAGAATAGATCTCTCATTGAACCAAGGAGTCTAGGTCTTCAGGAAAGACTTGCCATTACTTGTTGAAACCATACTTCCATCTTAGGAAATGCTACATGCACAATGATTGAAACAAGAAAGGTTATAATTTTTTTAATGCTCAATATATCTATCTCTTTTGGTGGTTTATTTTTTTGTTGTAATTTAATATTTGATAATTCTAATTTTTTCTTGTAAATATCTGTTAGAATTCCATCAAAAAACAAGTTAAGAAAGGAGGGAGTGCATTATAATATTCATTCAAGGAATCAGGGATTTTTATTTTATTTTTTTGTTCAAGTAACATAGTTTGTGAATTCCATAGAGTTTTTGCCATATTTTGACCAAAAGTTTTGCTTTGTTCATTTAATGAAAAAGAATTGGAAAACCTTTAGTACAAAAGGACTTGGCACTTTTGTATATAACAGGTCAGATATTGTTAATATTTCTATTACTGCTTTTGAACTTGAATTTTTTGCTTCCATTTCTTGTGTTTCTTTAATTATTTAAAGTGCAGGATTCAAAATATTTGTTAATACCTTTTCTTTATATTCTGTATTTCGGATTTAGCAATTGTTAAAAGCCATTTACCTAGAAGATCAAGGGAAGTGGAATGGTCACTGTTATGTAAACCAAATTTTTCACAATCAAATAGTGATTTTCCAGATCCCATTTTCACATGTAAATGCCCTCCATGATTTTAGTAACATTCACAGCATATATATTGAGCTTTAGTAACTATACCAACTTCTGGTTTGCAAATCACACCAAAGTTATTTAATGCATGACAGGTTATTTGTCCATTACAAGGAACCTGGACATTTTTATCTAAAATGTTCCAAGAATGTGAACTGCAACTTCCACTATGGCAAAAGAAAAAAACATGATACAGAAGAAGCACCGGCTTTTAATATAGTCATCACCAATTACAGGTATTGTAGTTTTCAATTTATTTTTATGATATTTTTGATCAACATTGAAATGTTGCATACAGGTTCCTATATAGTTATTTTCCCTCTTCTTCGGTTTTTTTGACAACTTCTCTATCTAACTGCCACATTCTAATTAGATGATTGAGAGGTCTAATTTGTTGACTATGCTCACATGTCTGAATTTTTCCATCCACCAAACCCACCAATATACATGTTGAATAATCATTATTCTGTTCTCGATTATTATTTACTGTGAATGATTCTAAAGATTGAACTGGTAAGAGATCTTCATCATCACTTGTATTATCATAATACATATCTTGCAAAAAAATATTTTTATACGTTTTTTTAAGGGCTTCACAATCATACTCAAAATTGATATCATTATCATTTAAAATAATATTATCATTCTCCTCATTTTCTGATTCTAAGTACATAATGTTATTTTAAATTTATTATTACAGTCAGGGAATATGCTAAATATGGAAATCGAATCTGGAAAAATTGGAACCCCCTCATCGATCAATTCATATATGTTGCAAATGAGTTTACGTGATACTTTTGTATATGTTGAACAAAAAAATTTTTTTAATAAAATTCATATATAAAAGTCAAAACAAATTCTTCTGAATATATAACCCGAGGATCACTGCAAAATTTACAAGATATAAAAGGCTATTAGTTGAAGAAAATTTCATTTTTTTTTCATTATTTAAGTTCACATTCAAAGTTATTTTGTTAGAAACCTTATCATTTCTTGTAACTTTATACAAAAATTCTTAATAACCATAGGAATAAATAAAATAGAACTTCTAGTTTCTAAGATCTTTTAATAATAAGTTCTTGATCTCATGTATTGAATTAAAAAAATAATTTTGTTAACCAACTATACAAATTTCTTATTAATAGTAACCATAGGGATGGATATATAGGATCTCCTTCTTTGACAATTTGTGCCCATTCTTGAATACAGCAAGCAAAGTATTTACCTCTATCTAATTGATTTGCAATAGATATGCTTGATTCTAACTTTTTTTTACCTAATTTAATTAATTTTAAATATTGAAGCACAGCTGTAAATTGTAATTTATATCCATTACTAAAATCATTGTTTTTAAGCTGCTTCTCTAAGTCACTAATTGTAACTTCTGTCATTTCTTTATCATTACTTTCAATAAATTCTTCAGAACTTTCATTTTCACTACTAACATCTGCTCCACTTTTTTCAAAAAATGCAGTTATTAATTGACCATTTTTTTCAGCATTTTTCTTAGCCTCACTTTGTTTCCAGCAATAAGTTCTGGAAGAGTTACCTATATAGCACAAAGGTCTTGATGATGAAGTGTAATTTTTCATGGATTCTAAGGATACCGGCTGCAACTTTTGATGATGGTTGCTACCATCTTTGCGTCATATAAAAATGATTGCAACTACTGGTTGCAACCACCTTTACAACCATTTTGTTTCCTTTTTTGGATTGCAACATGGAACACTAATGGATTCATTGAGGATATCAATATATTTTACAGAATTTTCATCTAATTCTCTATCTATTCCTTCTTCAAACCAACTTTCCTCAAATTCTTAATGTGAAAATTGTTCTAAATTAGTTTCTAATTGATTTTCATTACCAGATGAGCTATTATTTTTCTTTGTCTAAAGCAAGTCTATTTAAATGTGCTTTTTGCTTTGTAAACTTAGGCATGATTAATTGATAAATTTCAAAAAAGAGTTAGATTTTTGAACAAAAAAAAACGCGTTAATTGAATTGATACACAATCACGTGATGTGTGTAACATGGAATTAAAGTTAATTCCAGCCAAATTTAGCAATTTTGGCAAGATTTATGGTTGACAAATTGAGGTCAAACATAGAATAATGATAATTTTTAAAAGCTCATAGCTCCATCTAGAATGGGATTTTTAAAAAAAAACAACACTCTCCGTACAAACAAAAAACATCAGTATGATGAGAATGTCATTATAACAGGAGTTCATAAGTTTTATTTCCTTATGTTTTTTCAGAAATGAGAATGATTTTGATTGGTTCTCCATTATACTGACATGTTGTTATAACAGAATAAATTCTATATTTCTAAAAAAAGTTGACAAATTATGTCATTATACTAGTATAACAAGATAAATAATAGGTGTCATTTAATTTCGTCATTCGTAATTGATTTCATTACGCGTAATTGATTTCGTCACGCGTAATTGATTTTGTCGCCCGTAATTAATTTCGTATTGCGTTTTTGGCAAAATAATTACCATTGCATGTATAATCATAAGGAATTCTTTTACTATTTTTAGTTTGAATTTTCATTTTTTTTTATTAATAATGCGAATTATAGTGTAACTGATGACATTTTTCATTTCTCTATGTTTGCGAATTCAGTGTAACCGAGGACATTTTTTCCTTTGAATTATATAAAGGTGGTGACCTTTTCCATTTTCCATTAATCGAATCTATAGTGAGGCCGTCACATTTTTTTTAAAAAAAGTACTTTCGAATCATAGTGTTGGCGGTCACATTTAATAGAGTTTTCCCGATCCTGTTGTGATCCACTTCTTGTTATGCAGCCGAAAAAGGCATACCTATTGTTAAAGAATTGTGTTCAAAAAATGGTAATTTATATAATATCTCTCATGAAAGTAAGTATTTCATATTTATCAATTTTGGAAAAATATTTATTAAAATTATTAATTTTATACTTGCATATGCATATAACATATTATTTTCAGGTGAAATACTTAAAAACCCTGAAGATGCTCCACCAAAAGACATGTGGAGTATGACCATTGATCCGGAAGATTCTCCTGATGAATCTGAACAAATTGTAAGTTATTTCCTTTTGTGTATTCAAATATATATATATTCATATCATATATATGCACAAATATAAAATAACAAATGATTCATATAATCATATATTTAAATAAATTTATAGATTATTCATTTCAAAAAAGGAAAGCCTGTTAAGCTCAGGGTTGGCAAATGTGCTGTCCATTGATGGTCTATTGGTGGTCCATTGGGTCCATTAGTGTAACACTTTAACCATATTTAGTATTCTATTAATGACCAGTCCAAAATCCATCTGTTCTCAATGGACCAGTCAATTTTCCAACCCTGGTTGAGCTTATTAATTATAATAATAAAATAGAAAAAACAATTCTGTTGATTTATTTATCTATTTAAACAAATTGGCTGGTAGTCATGGTATTGGTCGGGTTGATATGGTTGTTGAATCGAGATTGCTAGGGTTTTTATTCATGAATATCATGAATATCATTAAGGGGTTACACATTATTAAAACAGCAAAAAACCCCTTAAAAACATGAGTTGATCACTTGATTTTAATAGTGTGTGACCCTGTGTGACCCCTTATGATATTCATGAATACAAACCCTAGAGATTGCTAGGATTGAAATCTCACAGATGTTACGAGTCACCTGGAGCCACAGTATTGCATGCTGCATATTCAGATCTTGAAAAGATCACAGTAGATAGACAAGTCCGTCATCTCAAGGAATCAAATATTGATATTCCTTATGGAAAAATTCTTTATGATGGTCTTAATTTTTCATCCAAGTGCAAATTCCTTTTACATTCACTTGAACACATACAACAGAGTGTTAATGGTGAAGTTAGAGTTAAATTATATAAAGGTAATATCATTATTCAAGGTTGTAAGGCTTATGAAATAGAAAAGGAACCTAATGAAATTTCAATGACTGAAATAAACACATCTAATTATAATGGTAATTAATTAATTTTTCATAAATTCATTTTTTATTTACTAACACTAATCAATATTTAAAAATATCATTCCATCCAAAAAATGTCCAATAGACAGTTGATAAATGAAAATATTCATCATTTGAAAAAGATGAAATTGAAGAGAAAGAACCAAAAAAAACAAAGAAGCAATTGAGTGGCATCATTTATAAATATAGAATAGCAATCTTTTTTTAATATATGTGTGTATAAATATATAATAATAATATGTGTATAATTGGCATTAAATAAAAAAACAATAATTAGCATTTTAATATTAAATTCTTGTATTGTGAAAAAAACAGCATTGTATGATCATATCATTTATTAAAATTATTTTACCTGGGCATGATGAGAGTCTATTGTTGTTTTTGCTTCACCTGGTTCTAAAAATATCCATCCTTTAATATCAATATCATACCTTTCTTTCCATTTTAATACAATTGTCATTAGCTCAGAACAATGATAATGTGGCCCATTGTCAGAAATGATTAATCCATTTGGGTTTAGGATCTATAGTTTCAAAAACTACATCAAAGCAAGATGCAGTAAACCAGGCATCTTGTTTTGTATCTGTAGACCAATGATCATAGGCTGTTAATTTAAATAGATTATCATCAGTTGCTTTGTATAAATTAAAATGGTATGTAAGGTCCATCCATGTTTACCAAAAAATTGTTCTTTTGTTTCTCTTGCTGATTTTGGTAAAATTCTCATTTTGTAATCAGCAATTATAATTGCACCTTGCTCATCTAATTCTAATAAATTAGCCTTTAATTGTGCATTTAAATAGGTTTTCCTGGCTTGGTGGGCTAAATAAAAATAAAAATATTCTTCCTTCTCTTTTAATATATTATGTTTTTCACTGGAAATTTCAATATAAAGATTATTAATAGTTGAAATAATCTATTGCAATCTATACAATTAGTAGTATGTGTTTCATTGCATTCACCAAATGCATATAATAAGCAATGATTTATACAAGTATTATGAAAAGTCCTGCCATTGTCATTAATTGATAGATGAGTTTCATATCCACGTTTAAGAATATATTTTACTTGCTCAATCTCTTGAATATATTGTTGCTAATAGATTATTAATAATAAAATTAATAAAATTATGAATTGTACAAAACTATGATCCTTATAAAACCTACTTGAGAAATTTGCAAAAGAACAGGAATAGCCTCCTCTACTGTCTATGATAATATTGCAAGCGTGTAAATTCAATTACAGCTCGGGTTGTGTCCAATAAAATATATAAGATAAAATAAAATAAAAGTCCAATATAT